AAGGCACTCTGCCCTGATTCATACCGAATACCGCATAAATTCTAAGTCTTATTGGGTGACAAGGTGTATGGGAGGTCCAAGGTGAGTCACTCCTTGATCTTGTACAAGCTTAAGCAAGCGCTTCATCATTGCCTCTATTGTCATGAGAGGGTGAAGCCGTGGACCCCGGTGTTGAGCTCAATAGGACCTATGGTGTTCGCGCCAGCTTGAAGCAGCTGCCTTGTTTTGTCATTTTTGTGCAGGCGAGCGGGAAGTGAAGCTCTCGTGCTGACACTTCCAGCTATTCCTACAATGTTGCAACGGCCGATTTTTTCATGACTAGATGCTATAAATCAAGTTGACTGCCAAGCGAACTGGGGCTCCAGCCATTTCATTTCGAGGAGTTCTGGACACTTACGCAGAAGGATTGAGGCCGCTGCCCAGTTTAAACGCTCAGAGGATCCACGTCCACTTACCTCCGTCACTTCGTGCGGAAAAAGTTTTGCACGTGCACTCCATAAAGTGTCTTTATGTCCCTTCCCTCCTCCCCTCCCTGTAGAAGCGGTGATAGCAAAGCCAACAGAAGGCAACCATGTGAGGCCTCGAACTGGAGGCATCTAGCTGCACATGAAACCCCTGCGCTGAATTACGAGGACGACGTCAAGAAGGTTGGCTATTTTAGGAAGGTTAAAGGGATAGTGATGAACACCAGTTCGAAAGGAGAAAGATTGTTAAGGAGTCTGGTTGAGCTCCGAACCATTCCCTTTTTGTCCGTTCCAAGATTTGACCCCATAAGCCTCCTGGTTAACCGTAATGACCCGAATTTTCAGAAGGTATCGAGAAGAACTAGCCCGGCCGAAGCCACCAGGCCTGCAGGACATGTTAGTCCTGTACACAGCCTTGCGAAGGCCAGCTGATATTCCAGGCAGATTTTTTATTCCACAAATCGAACCGAATGATGGTTTAAACCAATCAAACGATGCTGATCAGCCCCAAGGAGATCAAAATCTCTAGGCGGGATCTCAACAATGTACTACATGTATAGTGGTGGGTCATTTGTAGATGGAGTCGGGGCACTTCCTGGCTTTGGAGAGGCCAGAAACAACTTCCTCCATATTCCTCCTCCAGTACACTTACTCCGATGTTTCTCCTCCACTACTACCTCCCCTTACCCTTCCACGACCGACCTGTCACCATAATAAACTTTCAACAAGAAGCATAATCAACAATCAGAAAAAAATTTCTGGGGCTAAATACGATCTCGATCCGGGACCAACCATGACCCCCGTTGGGTACACCAACGTACTACCCTGCCTGCACTACTCCACGTTCCCGTCGAGCAGTGCAGCTCGCAACATAGGAGGTATACAGCGATCCTAACAAGCCCTTTAGAGTCAAACACTGCGCCGTCGACTCACCTGGTCTCCACATCGAGTGTCATGTAGAAACCCTTCTTGGTCTGAGCGATATTTCGCCGAGATCTCATCCTTGATGGGTTTCCAGCTGTTTGATCGACATTCAGAATCGGCGGTACCGGCAACGATTGTGAATCGGTTGGGGAAGCAGAACGCTTCTCACGGAATGCAATCTTTGGAGTCCTTTTCGAGCATCGAGGCGGCTGAAACCAGCATAAATCGCTTCATTGAATAACTTTGTGGAATCTTACATCTTACTTAAATCAAGCGTTTACCATAGCTAGGAAGATCTCCGGTTGTTTGCGGGTCCGAAACTGTTAGGGATAGGGAATACCTAACATCCGAAAATTCAGTTTCCGATTCCATGCTTGGTTGTCGTCTAGGAGTGACGTTTTCCCTAGCGTCATCCGCCACTGAAGTTAATTTCATCGAGTCAATGAGGAGTTACCCAATTCAGAACTCTACAACTGGTAAAGAGCTGGCTTTCCGTTATTTTTTTTACTCTTCTGGCGAAGATCTGACTGGAGACTTCTCTTCTTATTTTAGCGGTTGTGTTACCTCAATTTAAGGTTAGGTAAGATTCCAGTTTCCGTTCGATTCAGTACAGCTCGAATGTTGTAAGGGCGCACCTGTGCGTGCACCGTGCAAATTAATGAATAAGTGAATAAATGTACCAAATTTGTTTGTGAGAACCCCTTCCGAAAAAGTGTGAATTGTTATTTTTTTTGAACGTTTTTTCTCAGAGCTTTTCACTCAAAACCTTGTTTTCGGATATCTTTTGCCTTGCGCCTTAGCCATCACTGTATAGGCATCACTGACATGCTGACTAAAGGAAAGACCCGGAGAACTTGGATGAAGGTGCTATGTAGAGGTCAGGGGCTTCTAGGCTCCCTGGCAGAATCTCTAGAAGCAGAATCGAGCGACGAAAAGAGGGAAATGCGGTGTAGTCGACGCGATTATATAAGTGTGGTAAGGTCTAAGAAATGTTCAGTTACTGAATACGGAAAATTAAGATGACGAAGTTCGTGGGGTAATTCTTCACATTACCAAAAAATAGTAGAATATCCTTCATCTAATATGGTGGATGGAGTAAAGTCTGATGCCTTTCGAGCTAGTGAATCGTCATATGTTAGAGGGGCGGGATTTCACCGCTAAGCAGAATATTCTCCAGCTTCTCTCTTGCTGTAACCTCGGCATCGTTGTTTAATTCGTTAATATTGCTGTGCCTCTCGAGGTTTTTAGGTGGAATCTTTATTTCAACGGCCTAACGTTTCGACAGGGTCGTCTTCTTCAGACACAGCAATATTAACGGCTAAGCAGAATGTTGGAGGGGTGGGATTTCACCGCTAAGCGGACAATTTCGCTACCACAGTCGAGCGTCAGAAGACAGAAGGACACCCACCAACCTCCAGAGGCGAAACTAACACAGAGGTACAAGTCAGGGCCTTTATTCTCCCGCGCTGGACCCTGTCCGAGAATTGATCCTTGAACCGTCAGGTAATAGGTACTACAGGTTGCAGGACCCTCGCCCTAACAACAAAATCAAGTGCAATATAAAGGATAAAGTCTTCGCCGTTGATCAATCCCTTTGTGGGATGCGGCACGCATTCTACTTCCATTCAGAATCGTAGTGGCTTATTGAATGCGGGGCCTATACAATGACGAGCTGGGAGCCAGCCGATGTACAAGTCACTGTTTTTATTCTTCCATACGAATCCGCTGTTGATTCTCGGTGTACGACAGTAGAAAGCTTGGCTGTCTTGAGCGGAAGCCGACACGGGATTTAACTTCCGGACTGCGCACGGGGTAAGAGATCTTGGTTACTACACCACCTGCGCCTCAGCGCCGTTTCATGAGAGATGTAGGAGCGCCTGCAAGCTGTTCACAGATGAAATTGAATTTTTGGGCGATGCTGGAGCCCCAAGGCACGGTGTGAGGCTTCACTTCAAGCCAGTGCTGTCTCCACCCTTGCGGTGGTTTACTTGGCAAATCATGGGTCAGTAGAAGTTTGTGAAAGATTACAAACCACTTGTTTAGTGCATGGCATTGTTCCGCCTTCCATATCACACAGTGATATCTTGCATTGGAAGTACACATCTCCTTCGCCTGGGAACTTGAATACTGACATCTCCTGAAATCTTTTTTACCAATAAACCACTGAAAAGGCCAAGTGAAAGGTTCTGACCTGAAATACGTAGGTTTCCTCTTGCGGGTGGCCCAGTCGAGAATAGTTGGGCGTTTCGAGGAAGTGATGATCGATTTCACATCTGAAAGAGACGAAAAAACTTAGTTCCGGTCCTACTAAAATTATTCTGTGATTGGTCAGCAAACTTGCCCTTCGCTGTCGAGAATCTGTATCGTGCTCTTATCGGACTTCACGTAACAGTCATGAACCAAGTAGTGGAACTGAGGAGCTGCAAACGTAAAAAAGTCCGGAAAGGTTATGCTTAAGGCAGCAAAAATGATCAGAAAAAAGTTAATTAGAGTTAAGCGAGTTAAGCGCTAAAGTCTCACGGCTATCGCACTGCCATTTATGGAACAACGTCTCGCCAACTTTGGCGTCCAAAGCGACACATTGTGTGGGAGAATACCTGAAAGAGTCGAAAGTCCTCACAAGAAGCATTAGTCTCCTAATGAGACATCTAAAGACCGAACATCTTGGATAAAAAGATACAGTACCTATGAATACGGTAAGTGCAAAATCGGAGATGTTTGCTCAGCGCTATATTCTTTGCAACCCGAGTGATCTCCTGGGGAGACAGCGGCTGTTGATAGAAGCAGCTCACTTCGAGTCCCTCAAAATAAAATGGTTACATAAGAACGAGGGGCAAATGATTTCAATTTCAATGTGATCCTTCAAGCTGTTGCCGCAGGAAACACTCCACACTCCAATATCTTCGGGAGATGGAAAGGGGCTGTTCGGCCGCGATTATTCCTTCTGCAATATGCTTTTGGTGCACACTTTCCATTGTGAGACAAATATTGTCTATGTGGATACTGGACGAAGACATGATTGCAAGCGCCGAAGGAAAATGCCCCACCAGGAGGGTAGCTGCCGCCTCGTTAAAACGAGGCACTTATCCACGCCCCCAATCTCCGAGAAATGGTGTTTTGATGTGTTTGATAGCCTCGCAAAAGCACAGAATTTAGAGCGGTTCACTCACACCATCTGAGTTAAGTATGTTAATTTAAACTTTTACAGGAAGAAATCCTCGAAGAATAGTGCATGTTCTTCTGAATCGGAACTGTTCTGCTAAAGGAACAATGGCTGCCTACTGTAGGCGGAGCCGGGCTCACCGTTCTGCCTTACTCATTCGTGCGCCGCGTCTCCTTGTGCTCCTAGGAAGGTGGGGCACACCAATGAGGTAATCGTATATATAAGGAAGCGTCGGTTCCCGCCCCACGACCATTCGTGCGAACACCCTGAGCGACCTTTCTTGTGTGAGAACCTTCATTAAGCTCAATCAACTCAATTTCATCCAAATGGTAGCATGGCCTTCCAACCCTTAATCACCACGTCGATGCATTTTGTGGGTGACTTCTTTTTGACATAATCCTACTCATAGCCCTTTTTTACCTATTCAATGGACCGAAGCAAGCGTTACGATTACCAGTGGTCTCCACGCCCATAAAGCTAAAAAGTGAAATTAAATCCTGGTAAACATTCTATGATGCATGTCCTCTATTGGATCGAAACCGGTACTATCAAGCTTCAAATGCGCCATTAACCTTGGAAGATCTGCTACCAGGCCGCACTACAAGGGCTCTCCCCACAAAAGCAACGGAGTAATCCTAAACGCAGTAAGCAGGACACACTTTATGAAAGTCAAGCGTTACGGCATATGTCATTATTATTCCCCATCGCTTCCTCAAAAGACCGTTCACCAAACCTGATCCGCTCTTGTGATGATAATGGGATGGAACTGGAGAATCACGGTGATGTTGAAGTTGTATCCATCGCCACCCTGAAAATACCGCACTAATGAAAGAATGGAGGAAAAGCGATTAAGCCATGGCGCCCTTTATTAACAGTGATGGCCGACCTGCTGCATCATTATGGCAAGTTTCTGACCCATCGGATTGCCGGCGCATGCCGGTTTACAGTTATATTCCCGGCCAAGTCAGTGGTGCGCACCTGCGGGCCTTTCTTACCACCTGGTTTATTTTCTTCAGTCAATTAATCTACCCAATCACACTAGTAGAGTCAAGGTAGCCCAGAGGCGGGTCATCCCGCCCGATTTGATGCCCTTCCCGACTCTTTGGAATGCAGTACACTCTATATGGTCGCCAAATTTTTTTTCTTCACGATTGAAAGTTAGTATTGTATTCGGAAACTTTGAATTGATGAAGAAGGGGATAGAGTTCTGAGATTCAAAAAAAAGCAGAAAAACACGAAAGTTCAGGATTAAACCGATCACGTAAGAAGTCAGAGGAATTTGTGTTCTGCGCTGCGTACTGTGTATTATATATGTGCAGCACATGCACCGGCAATAGGGCGAGCAGGCATCATGGAAAACCATATTTTCATTCTCACCAGGAAAAAGGTCTTGAGAAAAAAAATTATTCTCTGATCGGCAGAAGGATTATAATTCCAAAGCTAACACAAGACCTTTTCTCTTGCTAGCTGCTCACTAACCTTCGTATAAAGGAAGCAACGTACCAGAGAGTCGGGGGGGCGGGTTTGTTAGCCACGGAAACAATTTTCAAAACGGTGGAGACTGTTGTTGGCAGCAACCACGGGCAAATTTCATTAGGAGGGCCGCAGGCGACAGGACAGGGTCTGCGCCCTGCTTGTCTGCAACCTACTGAGTTCGTATATACATATTAGCTGTTGCGGGAAAGTTCTGTCATATATTTTTGAACCCAAAATATTTGCCAATTACCTGAAGAGCGTTGACGGTAATGTGAGCACTTATATACTCTTTATCCCTATGGCGGAGTAGGCGTGGCTTGACATGGCATTTACAACGGGTTACGTTCATCGGATACTTTAATTTTGAAACAACTGCCCTATCTTGTCTGTGTAGATGTAGAATGATTACGACTCGCTTTCGAAATGAAAAATCTCACGAAAACCTGCGGCCCCTCCATTTTAAAATTTAAAGCTACGCAAACCACGCCTACCCGATCTCAGGATTTCGAGTGTTACATCAAAAGAATGGTCTTTCTATTGGTATCACTGGCTTGACTCCTGCTTCTCCTTATTGTGCAATATGAACAAGAATGTTATCCGCTACCTTTGGCACTGACCCCTCCAAGCGCTTCCTCAAACTCTTTCTTCTACCGCCCTGGCGCCAGCATGACAGCTGTTGATGCCGAAATAATGGAGCTGCATAAGGACGATGTCTACGATTATTAGACAACCTTCCACGACGCTAAAGCTTTCAGAGCCGCAGCCTACAGTTTGAATGACGAAGTGAGGTTTGGGTATACCTGTGAACTTAGCCTGAGGAACTGCTGCGGTCGGTAAACTACTAGACGAAAGAAGCCTGCAACCCTTTGCGTCAATCCGTATGCAAGCAGCTACGAGAAGCTTGAGGCCGAATCGTCGATCAGAGGGAAAAATTTCGTCCGCACAGTCCGTCTTCAACGTGATGGTGCAGCCCCCTCTGTCCAAAAAAGTTCGAGCCGAACTTCATGCAAAAGAGCTGGATGGCTCTCCCCCTGCACCGGTGTACCCCAGACATTGCTCATTCTAACTGCTAGTTACCTCTCGGACATAACCGTTATATGGCCGAGAAAACCTCCACGACTCGAGCCCAAGTCAACATTGAGATGATGTCCAACATTGCGTGGTGCCAGCCTCCATTGTGAAGCGATGGCATCCACGAAGTGCTCGAAAACTGGCAGAGATTCCGCAATGACATTGCTGTATAATTTTGATCTTGTACGCCTCTCTATAAAAAGAAAGCCTAGTTTGAAAAAATGTGACAGAACTTTCCCGCCAACCTAATACATTGGTTAACAGTGTGGTCCCACTGTGAGTTATTAAGAGAGTGCTTCTTGATATCTTCAGGAAAGATGACCACTATGGCGAGTTATTGGATAGTGTGAAGTGTGAAGTCTAATAAAGCGGCGGAAGTGGTGTGATGCAAGTAACAGGCATATCACGCGCGCCCTCGGGGTTCCTATCCTTGATCGGCTACAGCGCAGCTAGACGATGACTTGCAGGAGCCGACTCCCGCGAGTCATCGTATAGCTCACACACAACATTAAGAAACTACGATTCTGATTGTAGCGTTAGAATGCGTTGCTCCATACCAGGAGGATTGATCAACGACTGACGACTTTCCGTCTTATCTTTTTATTTTCGATGACGCCCAAGGGGAAAGGAGCTCCTTCTGTAAGACGAAGTTACACAGTTGATTTAGTTAAGGCATCTGAAGCAGACGACAAGGTCGAAATGTAAGGGCAGATAGCATCGTTCTGGAGGATACAGTCCACAAAGCAGCGGAACTCATTTGGCGTAGACTTTGAGCGCAACAGTGGCCGCGTCTTTTGCCACTAGTCGCCGGTCTGAATCGACAACAACTGGTAGAAAACGCGGCTGATGTTAAGCACACGCCCCATCTGTTCAACGTTACATAGACTGCACCATAAATAACGTTGTAAGCATGGACGTCATCATATGGAAGCTGTTACCTTGCTGAGAGTTTGCTAAAGCCACAAGTTCCATCGCAGGAACAGCTCGATGGAGACTTCGCGAGTATGAAGGCGTCGGCCGGATCTGAAAACAGCGGAAACTGACACTGTCAGCAGAGGTTAATGTCTGCCAAAATTTGTCACATATTTGTTGAGCGGAAGTGAGAAAAGGCTGAAAATTGTTCTCACCCACCAAAGAACACTGAGGGGTATCGTGGAAATATTGAGCATAGACAAGTCCATGCATGGGACGCTGCGTTCTCACAGTCAACGTGACAGAATTCGCATCGCAAGTGACGTCGGTTGCTCCACGAACACGAGGTACTGCAACAGTATACCTTATCAAATGTCCAGTTAGAGTTCTAGATTAACACTCACCGGCATCTGGCCCAAGCTCCAGCCCCTCGCATCCAAACCCAACGTGCTTCATGAGCTCAGCTTCAAAGTTCTGAAATAGCTGAATTGCTAGTAAAAAGGTTATAAGAATACTGAAAAATGAAATGGGTCATGAGAGAAGCATTTTTAGCAAATTCAAAAATGAGACTCCAGGCAAAACTATTAACACGTTGACGAAGAGCCATTTTATTCATGACTTGCGCGTGGGACGGCACATTTTTCCTCGTTGAAACTTAGTAATTTTCAAATAAATGAATGAATCCCATCAAAGTGGGTCAGGTAATGCGAGAGAATTTTCCGAAATTAGTAATTATGTTCTCAGGGGCAGATTTGGCTAAAAAATTTCTTTCGGGTCAGTTTAACCTCCTCAAGACGAATATCACATCCTCTTGGCCTGAAACTGCTTGGCGCCCGCGCTATAGGCGCCACGTTGAGGACGAGCCATTTTTTGACCCACCCATCGTCGTGTACGTTTCAAGCAGATTTGATATTCATGTAGGACTAGCCTAGGAGACATGTTTTCAGTGAATATGATGATTTACGGCAAGCGCCAAGCGGTTCCGTGGCAAGCGATTGTGATATTTGGGTTCACGGACGGGGTCAAGCTACCGCGGGAGACAAGTTTTCAGAGGAATCGGTGAATTATAGTGTTTTGGCGCAGGCGCCAGAGAGTTTGTGCCAAGCAACTGCGATTTTCATTTCAGAGGGACGAGCTACCCCTAAGGACACGTTTTCAACGAACATGGCTATTCGAACATCTTTATTACTAGTAACAATATACTGTCAGGCACCATTGTTTCTTCCGTCTAATACCAGAGGAGATAAGTTGAAGCTCGTCATCCCTAGAGCCAGGACCAGCATAAGAGCCAAGTTCTTTTCTCTGCGGGCTGCTACGGAATTTACTAGGCTCACCAAAAAGTTTTCTACGCCCAGGAGCATAGCTCACTTGAACCTCGCTATGCAGAAGTATTACGCTTGAGTGGTTATTGCCTCCCCCCATCCCTATGCAAGATGGATATTGATCCCCTTATGGCTGATCAATGCAAGTTGTCTTTTCCTCTATTCTTTTCTTTTCTTTTTTTCTCTCATTGTTCATTTTGTTACAAGTTATGGTTGAGTTTGATGTTATTACTATGTGGAATCTATGTTACGGCAACTCATGTACTCGCGTACATATTAATAAATAAATAAAAAATTAAAAAAAATTAAATAAATTGGTCTGTCATCTCGGGCCGTCAACGCTGTCAAATAGAACTATTCCTACCGCAGAAGCTCAAAATTATTTTTTGCTGGAACTTCGAGTGTGGGAGTAATTCGGAGCCATCATCACGAATATGGCATACTTTTTGGCGATGGAGCCATTTGAAGCCATCAGGCTCCAATTTGGCGCCGCCACCTTGTCACCAAACTTGTATACAGGGGTTAATTGATATCCTAGACAAAGATATCACCTTCCTCTTTGGCGCTGGCACCATTCAATACCATTCAGTACTCTGTTAAGGCTGCGCTTGGGAGAAGAAGTGACTATCTTCAGGTCAGGCTCAGCCTTAGCAGAGGAGAGCCTCATTACGGTCACGTGCACCCTCTTCCCTCCGAACTTAACTCCATTGACACTCTATGCAGATATGGTATTATGTGACATTCGTGCCTAGGGAGTCAAACTACCTAAGGGGGCACGTTTTCAGCGAATTCGATGATTTAGGGTATTTTGGCGCCGCCTGTGGCGCGGGCACCAAGCAGTTTCAGGTCGAGTGAATGTGATATTCGTGTACAAGACTCGAATTTGCTTCGAGAGTAGGGTAAAACTACCTCTCGAAACAAATTTTCAGCCAAGTTTGATCTGGATGGAAAACTATCCTGATTTGGGAGCACTGGGACTGGAGTACACAATACTTCTGAGCTCTATACTTGAAGAATCCCAGTGAGG